TGTATGAATTTTAAGGTAATTTCTGATTTTAAATAAATATTTCGTTGATGAAATCTTGATAAGCGTTATTAATTTATGGAAGTTTTAAAACAGACCCGACCGAATTTGGTTTATGGACATTAAACCATCGCTAACCCAATTTGGTTTCATTACAATGGAAGACGAGAAGTGAGTAAACGCTGCAGAGAAGTAAGCTTCGTTGCCGTCACCAAAAAAAAAAAGGAGTAAGCTTTGTCATTACAAAAACTTCGACGGAGAGAACTCTCTGCAATTCCGATAACTGTTTGATGAGTAGTAAGTAACCAAATGGTTTCGCACTTCTTTGGGCGTTTCCGAATTATCTTTTGATTTCGGATTCAGAGCGGAAATTCATAGGTTTTTTCTAGGGGTTTGGCTTTCAAAAATTCAAGCTTTTTCTTGAGTTTTTGTCATGTTCATGTGTGTGTGTGTTTTCTCTTGCTAGTTGTTACTAATTTGTTTGCTTGGCTTCAAGACAAATCCTTTTGAGTCTTATGGTGTTTGTTTTCTTGTGCTTTTTATTTTCAGAGAAGACAAAAAAATCAAAGAAACTGTGGGATTTGTAAGAAATGGACAAAATCAATTGTTTGCCTGATGAATTGCTGGTGAAAATATTATCTGTTGTTCCAACAAGAATTGCTGTATCTACTAGCATTTTGTCTAAGAGATGGGAGTTTCTTTGGATGTGGTTGCCTGAACTCGAGTTCGTTAGTAGGCGTAACTCATCGCCTGCACTTCGAGATTTCATTGACAAGAATCTGCCATTACATAGAGCTCCGGTCATAGAATTCTTGAGTCTTGAATTAAGTGATTCTAAACCTGAAGATATCAAAAGGTGGGTTGGAATTGCGGTTTCTCGCTATGTATGTGAGCTGGAAATTTCTTGTTACGGAGATGATAATGAAAACATATTTCCGAGCAGCTTTTATACTTGCAAATCGCTCGTGATCTTGGAACTCTATGGCGTGATTCTGATTGATGTTCCTTCTATTGTTTGTCTTCCCTCTCTGGAAACTTTGAAACTCTTTGATGTGACTCTCATGGATGTTCCCTCAATGGTCTGTCTTCCCTCTCTGAAAACTTTGGAACTTGTTTCTGTGATTTATGAAAATGAAGAATCTCTTCAAAAGCTTCTATCTGCATGTCCGGTTCTTGAAGAACTATCGATGTATTTTGCTGGTGACGATAAGGTCGAACAGTTCACTATTATTGTCCCGTCTCTGCAGAGTTTATCACTCTTTATAGATGATCATATTCGTATAGTTGGGTATGTGATAGATACTCCGTCTTTGAAGTATTTCAAACTTGAGGATCGGAATGATTTTATACACTACTCTGATATTGAGAATATGCCTATGCTGAAGGAAGCATATGTCGATGTCGTCTTCCATGTCCTTGAAAGTGTTCTTGAATCCATCACATCTGTCGAGCGTCTTACACTATGTTCAGAGGTAATTAGTTCTCATTTATCATACTGCAAATCTTCAATCTCAATTTAATCTTTTGTTAATAATTTTGATATCACTTTGAATGAATAATGGATACAGATTAAAAGACATTGGGAGTGTTAGGTGTGGTTAAAGTAACAAGAGTAATTGTGGTTGCTTTCTAAGTAACCATGGTTAAATTAGGGTATCCATTAGGCTTTATCTATATATGTTTTGGCTTGTAGTCTCTTTAACTTTATCAAATGGATTGATCAAAATTGTTGAGAGGGAGAAAAGAGACTCCATAACATCTCTTTAGTTTAGTGTTTATCT